TTTCTTTTTTTCTTTTCCTTTCCTTTCCTTTCCTTTCCTTTCCTTTCCTTTCCTTTCCTTTCCTTTCCTTTCTTTTCTTTTCTTTTCTTTTCTTTTCTTTTCTTTTCTTTTCTTTTCTTTTCTTTCTTAACTGTTTTCTTAAAAAATAAAATAAAGTTTGAATACATATAAAATATAACATCTGACATGTACTAGAAAATGACATCTTATTTGAAAACAAAGAGGCAGGGGCACCTGGGTGGCTCAGTTGTAAGCATCCGACTCTTGGTCATGATCTCACGGTTTGTGAGTTTGAGTCCCACATTGGGCTTCATGCTGACAGCACAGAGCCTGCTTGGGATTCCCTCTCCCTCTCTTTCTGCCCCTTCCCTGCTTGCTCTCTGTCTCTCTCTCTCAAAATAAACAAGCTTAAAAATTTTTTTTAAAGAAAAAAAGAGGCAGATGGACTGGAAACCATAATACCATGGATATGAAAACAATCCAAGTTCAGAGCTGGCTTCTTTTCACGAAGGACCTATCTAGTGGCATGAAGTAATTTCTGAAATTACCCATCAATCCTGGAAAATAATTTTTTTCAAATGATAATTAATTTCTATTTCAGGATCAATTAACATTTGCTAACATATTTTTAGAAATTTGAATAGGGACAAATGCTCCTGCAAATTTAGACAAAACTATAGCCCTGTTTTCCTTGCCCAACCGGGAGGCTGTTTTTAAATATTTTACCACTGCCAATGAGCAGTTTTTATTAGAAGTCCAGGGCAGTTAGTAAAGGCCCTGGCCTCTGTATCCATCTTTTCAGTTACCAACTTCCTACGTAGCCTTATGGATTCAGGCATTATTTTGCAAATCTGGTGGCTGAGACTTTGGGGACTTAGGGTGCTACCTTTATTTTATCCTGAGTAATATGTAATAATAGCATCGTCGCTTTGCCAGGTATTTTCTTCAATAAAGGGAGTTTGTAGCGAGGAGAAGAAAGCTCTGAATAAGTGGCCTTCTGGATTTTCTATAAGTCCAGGAGAAATTATCAAGGTGCATTTTTTTTTTTTTTTAAGAAACAACTAGCATTAGTTAATCACTGGGTTTACCAGGTTTCCCTGACATTCTCAGTTCTTTTTCCTGTTATATTATAACCTCTTTATCTTCCCGATCCTAAAAGTACAAATATATTCTCCATAACTTTAAAAAATTTGAAGAAAAAAAAAAAAAAAAGCCACAAATTCAATATTTCTTCTACCAAGCAAATTTCTTTGTAAAACTCAACACAGTAACATTTTATTCAATAACTTCAAAGAACCCATACTTGGACTTTAAGAAAAAGATAGTATTAAAAACAAATAAATTCAGCATTAAAATTAATGAGGAATAAATGTTGTATAATGATATCTTTGTTTTCCTTTGACTTTTATTATATTAGCTCATAATGGCTTGTGACTAAATAAGCTGCTAGTACTAAGAACTTTTCAGTGGCTCTAGGGAGAGAAGAAGGTGGGAGAAGCCAGAGCAGAAGTGTCTGAGGGCTTAGAAAGTATTGGAGTACTGGTGAAATCTTATGAAGGATTCCAGAAAAGTGGGATACCCCCCTCCCCCAAGGTGAAAAAAAGAAAAATCATTGTCAAATCAGTTACCAATTTTTCTGGCTGCCTCTAGTTGCTTGTAGAGGTGGCGAGGCAGGCCACCTTCATATTCACACACTGCCTTGGCTTCTGGTCTTTCGTGGGGTGAGCTTGTATGAACCTGCTCGCTTCTCTGGCTGAACACACCTGCTGCTTGTTCTGTGAATTCACAAAGGCCATGAATACTGCCATGATCCATTCTTGGAACAAGGAAATTTTGTGGTCTCATCTGAAGAAGATTACATCAGCTATTTTCCTGTAAAGAGTTTCCCTGGGTCAGTGGCCTTGGGTGGCTAAGTTTCATTGTTAAGCTTTTGGGGAAAAAAAGAAAATTTGAGAAATTTAGGAAATTCGAGGACAGAGACAGAAACTTGAGGCTAAATTATGTTTCTGAACTGATAGCCTGAAAGCTGCAATACAACACATTGTATTTCCATATAAAGGTGACAAAGTTTTGACTTTTTGAACTGTTTTTAAATCAAATAAAGAAGAGGCGCCTGGGTGGCTCGGTCGGTTGGCCAGCCGACTTCAGCTCGAGTCAGTCCTTGATCACCAAGTAGTCCGATGGAGTTCCGACCTTGTCGGTCTCTGTGCTGACAGCTCAGGCCTGTATTTATATTTCAGTGCTGTGTCTCCCTCTCTCTGACCCTCCTGTTCATGTTCTGTCTCTCCCTGTCTCAAAAATAAATAAACGTAAAAAAATTAAATCAAATAAAAAATCAGAAAGGTAAACCATAAGGGGAAGGAGGTAAAAAGCAAGAAAAAAAAAAAAAAAGAAAGAAAGAAAAGAAAATTGATCCATTATGTAGGTTCTACAATGATGGAGGAAAATAATCCAAATATCTATGTGAGGGGAAGCTAATGCAATATAATTGGAGACTTTAGTAAACAAATCAAAACTGAGGAAAGGTTTGAAGGAATCCAACAAATAAATATTGCATTGGAAAAAAATATTCAAACACAGCAGAGAAAAACTGGGCACACCAAACAACCAGTTGGTACATTCTTTTATCTGGTTTTGTCTTTTTTTGAATTCATGTGTTCCCAACACATATTTTAGGGAGTAAGTCATAAATGGTGTCTTCCAGTAGATCACTGTTTAAATTGTTTTGGTTTGGAGTGCATTTGCCATAGAAACAATGTATTTCAGGACAATAGTCATAACATTATCTCTCTTAGTAGTTCTGTATATCAGATTATAGTTAGTCTTGTACTATGTACAAGCTCCAACCTACAAGATCATTTCCAATGGGGACACTGTGTGACAGCTCAATCAGTTAAGCATCGTTCTTTTGATTTAGGCTCCTTGATCTCACCCGTTTGTGAACTGAGCCCAACACCAGGCTCTGCATGACAGTGGGAGCCTGTTTGGGATTCTCTCTCTCCCTCTCTCTCTCTCTCCCTCCCATGCATGCTTTCTCCCTCTCTCAAAAATAAATAATACACTTTAAAAAATAAAAGGAATCATTTCTAATGAAAACACATGTTCCTCAGCATGCAGCACTTAGAACTCTCAAATCAATGTTAGAAATGTCATTGATTACTCTCTTCCCCAAGCTGAAGCCTCCCCATACTTTATGGGAATAGCTGACGGCGCGCCCTCTTTCCCTGGACTGCAGAGTCCTGCTCTCCCATGTGCCATATGCTGGGGGGAATCCTGCTCACCCACATATTATGTGGTAAAAGTCCCATCACTTAGTCAATTAGTGCTCTTGGGGTAGTGAACACAAGAAATATCAATCTTCCTGTTTGAAAGCCACCTGCTGCCCAAGTGTCTGTCCTTCATATGGTAAGCCTCATAAACTAAACTTTCTCTAGTTTCCAGTTTGGTCATTTTAGAAATATACTGTGAGTTTTGCTAAATGGATCAACTCCTGTTCCCAAGCAACTTGGACACTAGTCAGACAGTAGGCTTTACTCTGAGGTACAAAAGTACTAGGGCTTTTAGTAGAGGGGAACATTTGAACTTACTTTTTGTATCCTAACAAGAGATTATCAAAAATATCAAAATTGTATCTATTCCTGAGAATATAGACTATGAGATCTTTATTAGTATGAATTATTTTAATACCTACAAATGTGTTTCTCAAACTAAAATTTCCTTGTTATTTTACTCCCTATTCAAAAAATGTGTGTAGGAAAAAAAAAGTTAATGGACAGAGGTTTTGAAAATAATTTTAAGTTTTTCACAGTAATATTTCCTAAATTTTTGGGACTGGAGAACTCATCTAATAATAAAGTAGTAACTTGAATATGCTATCTCAATTCATTAAATAATATTAATATCATACATGTTTCCTGAAAGAGAAACAAACTTCTGTTATTTTGCTTGCCTTATGAACAGGTTGAGAACTCTTTTGTGATGTTGACAATTTAACCAGACTTGAAGAAAGTATTCCTCAATTCAGCATTTTTAAACTGCATTGGTCCTTTATTTTGATGTGTCCCTAATTTTATTATTTTATTTATTTTTTTAATATATGTTTTACCCCATTCATTTTTTTGAGAGAGAGAATGTGGGTGCACTAGCGGGGGAGGGGCTGGGGACAGAGGACCTGAAAGAAGCCTATGTTGAGGGGCAGTGAGCCTAATGACAGGGCTCGAAAATCACCATGAGATCATGGCTTGAGCTAAATCAGATGCTCAACCAACTGAGCCACCAGGCATCGAGTCTAATTTTGCAGTTTTACTTTTCAGAAGAAATATCGTTATTAATTTTTTATGTAATTCCATACTTTCATTTTAAGCTGTATATCGATTAATACATTTTTTGTTGGTTACAAAGGGCGACATTTCAGTAGCATGTTGGCTCATGGTTTCTCTGTTGGTTCTTCAGTGGACATGAATATTACTGCCAAGCCTCAGTTTCCCCATCTATCAAATGGGAATAATGATAATGACACTTTTGGAATAAACAGACCATTAAAACACAAACACTGGACCTAGTAGAGAGTTCATGACCTATTTACCTGTCCTTCTTCTTTTGGCATTCAATACAGTGGCTGAAAAGCGATTTGCTTATTTGTGCAATTTTGATTTTCATAATCTATGTAAACCTTGTAGGTGATGTGTCTTATGCCCACTATTAAAAATTACTATTTAAGGCATATTAATTACTATTTAAGAACTGGAAGGTATCAAGTTACAAATGAATCAGGATCCCCCTACTTTGATCTTCTCGTGTTACTAGCATGGAACTGAAGGACAAGTTTAAAATGCCTTGTTCGTTAGGTGGTTGCTAGCAGATTCCTGCCTTCCTACCCAACTCTCTTCCCTCTCTAAATAGTTCCCCTAATACCATATTATTCAACTGTAAACAATTTGGTGTTAGGCTGACTGGTCCAATAATTTGTCCCAGATTGGAAAACAATTTGCAAAATTACCCCGAGCCTCAGATTTGCAGCATACTATTAACATTTGGGTGTGCTCCTCTCACCACCCCCTCTAGGACAAGAACTGTGTCTAGGTTCACATTTTTGTAATATACAGCATCATAAAAAACAACAGCTCCAAATTACTGGATCATTAGAATTTGACAGCATTCAAGATTTTTGCATATGGATTTAATTCTTACTAGCTTTATGGCAAGTTTTTCCATTTCTAACAAAGATTAGTATATTTCCCTAAGTTTGATGTGAGGAAAATAAACAAAGAGACATTCCTGAAAGTCCCAAAACACCATCTTGGCCAAATGGATTACACTATTTCAGCATTAAACTAGTTCACTGGCTCAAACTGAAGAAGAAAGAAGGAACAAGGCATGCATTACTGCAAATTGAACTTCCCCAAAATAATCCACGCGCGCTAGCTACAGTTATTAAAGAAAACATGCTGAAAGGAAAACTCATATCCCATGTACCCTTAGCAAGCCAAAAGACAAGATCTAGGATTAATTTTACCACTTTCTCTTTATCTCTATTTTATACAAGAATTTGTCAATTTTCTTCTCTCAAGTAATTCAAATTTTTCACTATGAAATACAATGTGAACATAAAAACCATATTAATTTGTGTTAACATTGTTTAAGTATATACAGGGTATTTTGAGTTTTCTCTATCAGCCTTTTTTTTTTACTGAGAAGTTAGGCCAGCCTTTCCCTACATTTAACAAAACAAAACAAAAGAAACTTTCCTTGTCTGACAAAAGGGGTGAAAAGTATTTATATGGATAGTTCAAACAAAGAAATCAGAGTGGTGAGACTACATTCAAATACAAACCTTTTTCTTTCTTTTTTTTTTTTTTGTATTGCAAGCTATTTGTATCCAACTAGTCAAAAGATGTTTGAAATATGCCAAGATATGCCTAGGTCAGAGTACTTTTTTAAAGAAAAAAAGAGGCAGATGGACTGGAAACCATAATACCATGGATATGAAAACAATCCAAGTTCAGAGCTGGCTTCTTTTCACGAAGGACCTATCTAGTGGCATGAAGTAATTTCTGAAATTACCCATCAATCCTGGAAAATAATTTTTTTCAAATGATAATTAATTTCTATTTCAGGATCAATTAACATTTGCTAATATTTTTAGAAATTTGAATAGGGATAAAAATGCTCATAAATTTCGAACAAAGCCGCAGCCCTGTTTTCCTTGCCCAGCTTCGGAGGCTGTTTAAATATTTGCCACTGCCAGCCAAGAGCAGTTTTATTAGAAGTCCAGGGCAGTTAGTAAAGGCCCTGGCCTCTGTATCCATCTTTCAGTTACTGCTTCACACGTAGCCTTATGGGTCTAGACTGAGCAATCTGGTGGCGAGACTTTGGGGACTTGAGACAACACCTTTATTTTTATCCTGAGTAATATGTAATAATAACGTAAGCTTTGCCAGGTATTTTTCTTCCAGCAAAGGAGTTTCTTCAACGGAGAAGAAAGCTCTGAATGGGGGTGGCCTTCTGGATTTTCCTATAAGTCCAGGAGAAATTATCAAGGTGCATTTTTTTTTTTTTTAAGAAGCAACTAGCATTAGTTAATCACTGGGTTTACACCAGGTTTCCTGACATCATCTTCTCAGTTTCTTTTTCCTGTTATATTATAACCTCTTTATCTTCCTTTTGATCCTAAAGTACAAATATATTCTCCCACTTAACTTTAAAAAATTTGAAAAAAAAAAAAAGCCACCAAATTCAATATTTCTTCTACCAAGCAAATTTCTTTGTAAAACTCAACACAGTAACATTAAATAGCTGAGGAACCCATACTTGGACTTTAAGAAAAGATAGTATTAAAAACAAATAGAAGTGGCATTAAAATTAATGAGGAATAGAAATGATGTTGACATAATGATATCTTTGTTTTCCTTTGACTTTTATTATATTAGCTCATAATGGCTTGTGACCCCCAAATAAGCTGCTAGTACTAAGAACTGTTCAGTGGCTCTAGGGAGAGAAGGTGGGAGAAGCCAGAGAGCAGAGATGTCACAGGAGCTTAGAGAAAGTATTGGAAGTACTGGTGAGAGAAATCTTATGAAGGGATTCCAGAAAAGTGGGATGCCCCCCCCTCCCCCCAAAGGTGAAAAAGAAGAAAAACCATTGTCAAATCAGTTACCAATTTTTCTGGCTGCCTCTAGTTGCTTGTAGGTGGCGAGACGGCCACCTTCATATTCACACACTGCCTTGGCTTCTGCGTAGGTGAGCTTGTATTTGCCAGACCTCGCTTCTCTGTGGTACACACCTGCTGCTTGTTCTGTGAATTCACAAAAGGCCATGAATACGCTATGATCCATTCTTGCGGAACAAAGGAAATTTTGTGGTCTCATCTAGAAGATTACATCAGCTATTTTTCCTGCCAAAGAGTTTCCTGGGTCAGTGGCCTTGGGTGGCTAAGTTTTCATTGTTAGAAAGCTTTGGGGAAAAAAGAAAATTTGAGGGGAATTTTAGGGAAATTCGAGGACAGAGACAGAAACTTGAGGCTAAATTATGTTTCTGAACTGATAGCCTGAAAGAAAGCTGCAATACAACATTGTATTTCCATACTAGCAAAAGGTGACAAAGTTTTGACTTTTTCGGGCTTTGTTTTAAATCAAATAAAAAATCAGGGGCGCCTGGGTGGCTCAGTCGGTTGAGCGGCCGACTTCAGCTCGAGTCAGTCCTTGATCACCAAGTAGTCCGATGGAGTTCCGACCTTGTCGGTCTCTGTGCTGACAGCCAGAGCCTGATTCCTATTTCAGACTGCTGTGTCTCCCTCTCTCTGACCCCTCCTGTTCATAGGCTCTGTCCCATCCCTTAAAAAATAAATAAAACGTAAAAAAAATTAAATCAAATAAAAAATCAGAAAGGTAAACCATAAGGGGGAAAGGAGGTAAAAGCAAGAAAAAAAAAAAAAAAGAAAGAAAGAAAAGAAAATTGATCCATTATGTAGGTTCACAATGATGGAGGAAAATAATCCAAAATATCTATGTGAGGGAAATGACTAATGCAATATAATTGAGACTTTAGTAAACAAATCAAAAACTGAGGAAAGGTTTGAAGGAATCCAAAGCAAATAAATATTGCATTAAGGAAAAAAAATATTCAAACACAGCAGAGAAAAAACTGGGCACACCAAACAACCAGTTGGTACATTCTTTTATCTGGTTTGTCTTTTTTAGTTCACATGTTGTTCCCAACATATTTTAGGGAGTAAGTCATAAATGAATTGTCTTCCAGTAGATCACTGTTTAAATTGTTTTGAGTTTGGAGTGCATTTTGCCATAGAAACAATGTGAAAATATTTCCAGGACAATAGTCATAACATTATCTCTAGTAGTTCTGTGTAGACTATCAGATTATGGTTAAGTCTTTGTACCCTGACCTGTACAATCAGCCACCATTAAGATCATTTCCAATGGGGACACTGTGTGGCTCAATCCGTTAAGCATCCGATTCTTGATTTAGGCTCAGGTCATGATCTCACCGTTTGTGAGACTGAGCCCAGCACCAGGCTCTGCACTGACAGTGGGAGCCTGTTTGGGATTCTCTCTCTCCCTCTCTCTCTCTCTGCCCCTCCCCCATGCATGCTTTCTCCCTCTCTCAAAAATAAATAAATACACTTTAAAAAATAAAGGATCATTTCTAATGAAAACACATGTTCCTCAGCATGCAGCAAGACTCAAATCCAGTAGTGTTAGAAATGTCATTGATTACTCTCTTCCCCAAGCTGAAGCTGACACTCCCATACTTTAATAGGAATAGCGGCTTGGCACTTGCCCTCTTTCCCCTGGACTGCAGGGGAATCCTGCTCTTACATATTATATGGTACAGGGGAATCCTGCTCTTACATATTATGTGGTAAAGTCCCATCACTTAGTCAATTCGATGCTCTTAGGGTAGTGAACACAAGAAATATCAAAGTTATCTTCCTGTTTGAAAGCCACCTGCTGCCCAAGTGTCTGTCCTTCATATGGTAAAGCCTCATAAACTAAACTTTCTCTAGTTTCCAGTTTGGTCATTTTAAGAATATACTGTGAGTTTTGCTAAATGGATCAACTCCTGTTCCCAAGCAACTTGGACACTAGTGGGCAATGGAAGCACCTTCATTTTGAGGTACAAAAGTACTAGGGCTTTTAGTAGAGAAGGGGGACATTTTGAACTTACTTTTGTATCCTAACAGAGATTATCAAAAATGTCAAAATTGTATCTATTCCCTGAGAATATAGACTATGAGATCTTTATTAGTATGAATTATTTTAATGCCTGCAAATGTTTCTCAAACTAAGATTTCCTTGGTATTTTACTCCCTATTCAAAAAATGATGTGTGTAGGAAAAAAAGTTAATGGACAGAGGTTTTTGAAAAATAATTTTAAGTTTTCCTCCCAGTAATATTTCCTAAATTTTTGGGACTGGAACTCATCTAATAATAAGATAGTAACTTGAATATGCTATAATTTTCAATTCATTAAATAATATTAATATCATACATGTTTCCTGAAAGAGAAACAAACTTCTGTTATTTTGCCTTATGAACAGGTTGAGAACTCTTGTTGTGATATTTGACAATTTTAAGCAGACATTTATTTGAAAGTATTCCTCAATTCAGCATTTTAAACTACTAAGATGGTCCTTTGTACAATGTGTCCTAATTTTATTATTTTTATTTATTTTAATATATGTTTATTCATTTTTGAGAGAGAGAATGTGGGTGCACTAGCAGGGGAGGGGCACAAAGAGAGGGGGACAGAGGACCTGAAGAAGGTTCTATGTTGAGGGCAGTGAGCCTAATGACAAGGGGCTCGAAATCACAAACCATGAGATCATGACTTGAGCTAAATCAGATGCTCAACCAACTGAGCCACCCAGGCATCCCGAGTCCTAATTTTAACAGTTTTACTTTTCAGAAGAAATAATAATTTATTAATTTTTATCATCCATAGTCTTTCATTTAAGCTGTATATCTATTTAACCAATACATTTTTTTTGTTTGGTTACAAAGGGGCGACAGTAGCATGTTGGCTCTGGTTTCTCCTGTTGGTTCTTCAGTGGACACATGGTGTATTACTGCCCAAGCCTCAGTTTCCCCATCTATCAAATGGGAATAATGATAGCTATTTTTGGAATAAACAGACCATTAAAACCCACAAACATAACCTCTGGATCCTAGTAGGAGTTCATGATAATGTTACCTGTCCTTCTTCTTTTTCGCATTCAATACAGTGGCTGAAAAGCATTGCTTATTTGTGCAATTTTGATTTTCATAATCTATGTAAACTAGGTGATGTGTCTTATCCTTACTATTAAAAAATTACTATTTAAGGCATATTAATTACTATTTAAGGAACTGGAAGGTATCAGAGTTACAAATGAATCTTAGGGATCCCCTACTTTGATCTTCTCGTGTTACTAGCATGGAACTGAGACCAAGAGTTTAAAATGCCTTGTTCGTGTTAGTTGCTAGCAGATTCCTGCCTTCCTACCCAACTCTCTTCCCTCTCTAAATAGTTTCTAATACCATATTGACCTAACCAACTGTAAACAATTTGTGTTAGGCTGACTGGTCAATAATTTGTCCCAGATTGAAGCAATTTGCAATTACCCCGAGCCTCAGATTTGCAGCATACTATTAACATTTGGGTGTGCTCCTCTCTACCTCTAGGACAGAACTTCTATTGTCTAGGTTCACATTTTTGTAATATACAGCATCACTTAAAAAAACAACAGCTCCAAATTACTGGATCATTAGAGAATTTGACAGCATTTCAAGATTTTTGCATATGGATTTAATTCTTACTAGCTTTATGGCAGTTTTTTCCATTTCTAACAAAGGTGTGTATATTTCCTAAGTTTGATGATGTGCAAGGAAAATAAACAAAGAGACTTGTTCACTCCTCGAGAAAGTCCCAAACACCATCTTGGCCAAATGGATTGCACTGTTCAGCATTAAACTAGTTCACTGGCTCAAGCTGAAGAAAGAAGGGGCAAGGCTGTGCATTGCAAATTGAGCTTTTTAATGAAATCCGCATGGCTACAGTTATTACCAAAGAGAAACATGCTGAAAGGGAAAATATTCCATGTCCATGTGCTGCTTAGCAAGCCAAAAGACAAGATCTAGGTTAATTTTGCTTTCTCTTTATCTCTCTATTTTATACAAGAATTTGTCAATTTTCTTCTCAAGTAATTCAGAATTTTTTCACTATGAAATACAGTAATGAACATAAAGCCATATTAATTTGTGTCGTGAGAAAGCATTGTTTAGAGTACTATACAGGGTATTTTGAGTTTTCTCTATCTGGCCTTTTTTTTGCACAGTTAGGCCCATACCTTTCCCTACATTTAACAAAACAAAACAACAAAAGAAACTTTCCTTGTCTGACAAAAGGGGTAGAAAAGTATTTATATGGATAGTTCAAACAAAAGAAATCAGAGTGGTGAGACTACATTCAGAAATACAAGCCTTTTTCTTTTTTCTTTTTTTTTTTTGTATTGCAAGCTGGCTTTGTATCCAACTAGTCAAAAGATGTTTGGAAATAGCAAGATATACCTTACAGGTCAGAGTACCTGGGCAAAAGCTTATAAAATTATTGTATATTCCAGTTTACCTGTTATGTTTCTGTTTTGATTACCTGTTGTGAAATCTGAATGCAAATGCATCGAAAAAAAAAACATGGTGTTTTTATTTTGCTAAACTTTCCCTACTATTACCATCACATCTGCTTTGAAAATGTTAAAATATATTTTCATATGGAATATAAATATTACCCTCTATTTTTCTACTGAATAGCTCACTTTGTAAAAAGAAAACTATTTTTAATTTAGAAGGCAAGAACACTTTTTTTTAAAAAGAGGCATATGCATTCCAATAGCTGTTTTTCCTCAGCATTTTCTTTGAAAACATCAGCCTTGAACAGAACAAAAAAATTTACTGCTTTGATTCACTTCTGCATGAATTCAAAGTAACATCCCCAATAAGAAGCTCATGAGTGAAGTTTCTTACCAAGCCATATGGAGTTATGAAAAATTCCGTTCTTGAATCCCCATCCGTGAGCCTCTTCCCACAGCAAGACAAATAAATAAATTAAGATGATCATATCTCAGTTGTAGAGAAGTTATAGCCTGTTTGGGGCTGCTCAGGATGAGTTCTCAGAGCAGAGGCTGAAATGTGACTGAAACATCTGGTTTCCACATCTTTTAAATGGTTTTTTTCAGCTGTGAGGTCAGCAAGTACTCTCCAATGGCGTTTTTTGCTGTAGAGTTACACAATTAACTCAGTGTCTGGAGCAAATCCTCTGACTCATTTGCATTGGCAACCAAAACTAAGGATATAGAATGATGATCTACATTTTAAAATTCATTTACTCAGAAAGCGGTTCATTTTTTCTGCCTGTCACAGATGCTTTTCTATTAGGGAGTTTGTGTAACTTGTTGCAGATTCAGCAGTGATGAAAACAAAACCAAAAAACTTCAGTAGGAATTTTAAGAGAAACCTTGAATGTCTTAATTGCAATAAGTCAATTATGGAGTGTGGGGGTTTGGGCTTAAACACTAACCTTGAACTTGACGATAGTAAGTTTACTCTAATCTTCTCTAAACATTGCCAAGCTTGTATAGAAAATTTAAAACAAAGGTGGGCATAGTTTGGTGAACCCTAAACTATCTCCAGTGATGTAGGATTTCTTTACCCTTTGTGTTTGTCCTGGGGTGGATCTGTTACCGTCCCTGGCTTATTGTGGTCAGCAGGTAAAGACATCAACTTCCGGAAAAGTAGCTCTGTTTCAGAGCTTTAGGACATTCCAGCAGCTTTGGGGCATCTTATTATAACACAAACTTCCCGAGGCCACAATGCCTTGAAGTTGTGGGAGGAAGGTGGGTGGGTAGAGAGTCAAAGTTAATAAAAATACGGCCCTAGCTGCCCCAAACCACTCTGTGAAGATGATCAAAATGATAGGTAATAATTATTAGTAGCAGAGTCACCATGCCTTAAAATAATCCAGGCTTTCCACTCCTTTTGTGTAGAGTCCATGGGTCTAGTAGTATCCCCACTGCTCTGATACTAGGAGCATTTTCTGTTGATTGAGAGCCATTTTGGGGCAGTATTTGCCTCTCTTTCTTATACGTCATTCTTTGCTATTTAGTGTTTCTACTCTTGCTGCCACGTTGCTTTCCCTTTGCTTTCATATTCATTTTTCTCATGCTTTCTTAGGCCCTCCAGTGATACTGGAATCCTTAGAAAATGCCAATTTTCTAGACGCGCCTGGTCTGAAGTGAGCCTAGACTCCCTTAGGCATCTTTGCAACGAACACTGAAGGCATACTTTCATCTCATCTCTCCTCGAAAGAGCAGTTGAGGAGATGTAGGCTGAGGGTACAGAATTTACTGGATGCTCACTGAGTTATGCACAAAGTTATTAGGGTTCAAAATCTCTATTCTGGGCCTGCAGCAAATGAGAAATGACGGAATTGTGTCACAGCTCACTGTCAGGGTTAGAGAGTTTCAGTTTGGTGCAAAAGAGGATATAGTCTAGACCAGGTGGGTGTAACTGTGAAGACCACAGTCATGGGCAGAGAGAACAGGATGAATAACTAGTTGGAAGGAGCAAACCATGATATTGCTCTGGAAAGTAGAATTATATGAGTATTTTAAGTTTGTGGTTTAGGAAGTAAATATAACTTAACTTGTTCAAGGGTACAGCAAAACCATCACAGCCTTCCCCATTCTTTGGTCATATTTCTTTGGCTGTGCCCTTTCTGCATTTCTTCGAAATACCCAATTTCTTCTGGCTCCCATTTATCAAACATTACTCTCAGGAGAGGGTTGGAAGTGAATCTTTACTTAGGTCAAGTAACTAACAACAGATACCCATCTTTGTTTATTTGCATTTTAGTGAAGCTCCAAGTGTGGAAAGCTGTGAATGTACACTTCGTTTTAACATAAAAATTTAATGATTGCTTTGAGGGATTAACCCAATCCAGGGTAGAGGATTTCTTTTCCTCTCTCACAACTTGATTGGGTGGGAATCAAGGGGAAGACAACTGGGAGATGAAGAGTAGCAAAGGGAGTATAGCCTATGAACTTACCTTGGTGCCTAAGGTAATGAGTCATCCCCTGCCCAACCCTTAGTGCATACTACCCAGGATGTTTCTGGGGAGCTGAGAGAAGATACACTTAGAAAAGTTCCTTTAAAGAGGTCCAAAGACTACCAGTCAAATTGCTCTACCTCCTTAGATGAATGCCATGCCACACCTCTCTGCCCCCAATCTCTTCATCGGTCCATCAAGGTGTGCAGTGTCTCCTTTTGAGCCTGTCAGTTACTGGCAGAAAATCCAGCAACACTTTTTTTTTTTTGTAGAGGCAGCCCCTGTTTTGGTTGCTTTTCCAAAATGTTCCAGTACCCATATACCTAAGCAGCTACTAGATACCCTAAAAACATGGTGGAGAGAACTCCACACCTGATTTGGGCTAAGACTGCACTAATCAAGCTTGAGATCTCCTAGGCCAGCACAGTAGTTTAGTGATGTCACTATTACACAAATTAAAAAAAAAAAAAAAAGACTCTAAAGTAGAATTTCAAATATCTGTTGGAGGATGAGAAGAGGCGTATTAAAATTTTTTTGATATACTCGGTCTCGGCTGAGAGGAAAAAGTATGGAGAAATGTCAGGTGGATATGTAGAGGGGGAAAAAAGGAAAGGAGGGAAGAAAAACAAATTCTAAGACATCGCATACATATCTGATTATACTTTAAAAAGATTGGATTTGAATAGCAAGGAATTGTAGGAAAATTCTATTCTTTGGCCACAGTATGAAAACTAAAACATAAATTATATCATTTATTGATTATATTTTGCAATCTTGGAAAGAGAAGGAAAAAGCAAGAGGAAAAGAAAAGGGTGGAGTTCAGTGAATTACAAAATATGTCAATAGAAGACATCTTTAAGAACACTTCCAGTAAGACCACGAAATTATATTACAGGAATGCGTCATCCACCCTAAGATCTCCATATGGACTTGTATGGAAATAAAGGCAATAATGGAAATTGAGGTCATTCCCTTCAGCCTGATTTAAAACAATTGGAGAGAAATTCTGATGCATGCCATAGAACAAAGTTAAAGAAATAAAATACGTGACATTCTACTCATTCATTCAATAAATGCTTTCAAATCTTCAGGTGGAATGCTGCTAACTTTTACAGGGCCAGTGAGCAGGTTGGGGCCAATGTAGAACAATGGGAAATATATAGAAAAGTGAAAGATTTAATTGTTTTATATCAAAAAGCTTTTAGGAAGTGAATGTGACACTGAAACTGACGTTGGATTTCCCATAGGTATATGGTGTGATAGTCATTAGTAATGCCCACTAAGTATTTCTGCTTCTCCACCTTCTGGCAGCATGTAGTATTAAATTCTATGGTTTTCTGGTGTTTGGTGGGATCATGTGATTGTTTCTGGCCAATAAGATGTGAGCAGAAATTATTTATTATCTCAGAGTCAAGCATTTGATTGCTGATGTTCCAGAACTCTTTCCCTCTGGCACGGAGAAAAATATTTGGGATGGTGGCTGCTCTATCACCTGGATTCCTGATTGATTCCTGATGTTATGTGGCATGAACAAAATATAAACTGTTATTGTTTTAAGTCATTGAGATTTTGAGGTTGTTCATTACTGTTAGCATAACTTGATCTTTCCTGATTTATAGGAAGAAGTGATCTCATATGGGTATTAAAGCAAAGGATGACTTCAGAAGGTTGGGGGCCTAAGGACATTCAGATGCAAAAGTTAAGACAAGAAGGAGAAAGAGGAAGAAGAAAAGAACAAGGAGACGGAGGTGATGATTAATGTACTTAATATCTTCCTTCTCTCCCCATCCCACCTCCTTACAAAACACAGTTCCCCAAACCTGCCTCTGATCTGCCTTCTGAGGTTATTTACTGGAACTCCCCCATATGCATTTATTCCAATCAAACTGTTCCCTACACCTCTGGTAAGTCTTGAAGCTCTGCCTCCTTGTCCCTACCTCTTTCTCTCCCCTGACTTTTAGTGAAACAATTACAGAACTCAGTGTTGGAAACTTAGAGATCACCTGGTTTGAATTTTACCTGTGTTGTGAATCCCTGCTGTGCTGCCCTTCTGTTGACCTGAAAACTTTCAGTTAAGCTTTGACTCATTTTTGCTATTGAGGCCCATAGAATAAGCCTTAACTACACCAGCTTTCAGGAAAAAGGACCGTGATCTAAAAAGCTGGAACAAAGAAACAAGCACACATATTTGAAAACAACTTTAAAATATGCTCACTTAAAATTTGCTTTTTAAATATTTTTTTCAAGTAGGTTCAAAAATATTAAGTTCAGAGTGATCCTATCTTGATAAAGGAGGGATATGTTATAAATATATATGAAAAGAAAGTCCAGAAAGATGTACATACTAATGCCAAATATCTGCATGATGAAGTTATGGGTACTTCCTAACTTCTTTTTGTTTTTTGTTTTGTATTTTATACATTTTTTTCCCAATACATATGTATTATTTGTGAAATGAATGAAAAAAGTTATGACTCATATACACATATTCAAAGGCATTAATTTGATTGACAAGACAAAGAGACTGTTAAAGAATACCTACTAAATCATAACTAGAACAGGATATTAAGGTTTTATAAATACCTAAGAAAACTGAGTATTGTGTATTTTACCAGGTAAATGGGACATAGTACTAATAATCTTTCCAAGGAAAATGAGATTAGTCATAATGTGATCAAAGTCAAAGCCAAACCATAGTTCATAAATTTATGCTGAGGTTGCCTGGCATACATGGTTGCTTTTGGATAACTCTCCAGGGCACTTGCTGTATATGACAAATCTTGACCTTAACCTCCACATAAATATTTAATTCTTCACAAATGTTTACAGAGGATATACTTTATGTTAAGTATTATGCTGTATACTAGGTGGGAATATGAAGATTGATAAAACATGATCTCAAAGAGTTCATAATTTCCTATTTGGAAAATCATCAAGCAGGCTTGATTCTTCATGTGGAAGTTTTTGAGAGGAGTTTAGTTAAAGGCACACTACACCCATTGTCTTTCCGTGTC